CTATTCAGTATTTAATCATGTGTCCTGTTTATATCACTTGAGTTTAGCCTCGATGTGCATCCATTTCGCTATAAACATTTCTAGTTTCTTATTCTTTATGGCTGAGAGGTACTCTGTTTTATAGAAAAACCACATCCTCTTTATCCAGTCTCCAACTGATGGGCAAATGGGCTGTTTCCAAGTTTTAGCTATTATAAACATGGGTGAGCATATATCACTGAGGTATGATTCTTTTAATTATTTTGGAAAGATACCAGCAGAGGGATGGCTGAGTTAAATAGAACCACTAATCCCAGCTCTTTAAGATATCTCCATATTGATTTCCATAGTGGTTGCACCAGTCTGCACTCCCACCAACGACGGAGAAGGGTTCCTTTCTCCCCCTACCCACCAGCATGTTATTGTTTGATTTCTTGATAGCCATTTTTTTTCTGGAGTGAGGTGGAATCTGTGTTGTTTTCATCTGCATCTCTCGAATGACCAGTGCTGTGGAACATTTTTTCATATATTTATTTGATGTTTTTGCTTCTTTGTCTGAGAAAGTCTGTTCATTTCAAATGCCCATTTTTGAATCAGGTCTTTATATTTGGGGGGCCTGAATTTTTTTGAGTTCTTTATATATTCTAGATAATAGTCCTTTGTCTGAGGAGCATCTGGTAAAAATTTTTCCAACATTATAGGTTGTCTCTTAGCTCTGTTGATGGTGTCTTTTGCAGTGCAGAAGCTTTTTAATAAGATGAGAGCCCAGTTGTTGATTCTTTGTTCTAGTTCCCATGCTACTAAGGACTGTTCGTAAACTCTTTTCCTACACCAATGTTGAAGATGTCTTCTAACAGCTGAAGAATGCACAATCTCTTTATCATGCATGGAACTTTCTCTAAAGTAGACCAAATAGTAGGCTGATACAAAAAAATAACCCTGAAGAGGAATTATGAAATATATCTCCCAAGTTAGATGTCTGAGATGCCAAGCTCTTGTTCTCTAAAAATCAAAGATTGAATTCTAGGAACAGTGCAGATTAAGAGTAGGGAGATATTTATTGATAGGACAACTCCTGAGAGGCAGCAGGGGACCCGAGGGGGTAGCCAGGGACCATACTTTACAAGGGAGTTTTATAGAACAAAACCCATGTGGGTACAATGTTGGCTACAGCCATGATCAACCAATAAGGTTACAAGTCTATTCACCTAGGTAACAGTGATCCAATTGGGAAACAAGTCACATAACCAGTGTGGATGGAAAGAACATAGACTTCTAGGAAATGATGGGTCCAGAGGTCCCTGGTCACCCATCAGGGTGGCTGATATCTATCTAGACTTCATTAGGTCCAGTGTTAGTCCTCTGAGGAAGTGTGCAGGTCTGATCTTTGTCTTGATCTCATCTTTATCTTGAGGCCCGACCTTCAACAAATGTGTCTCCAGCCACAGTTGTGATATGATTCACCCCTGTCCTAACTCTCTCATCCTGTCTGCCTGCCTATATTTCTACCTAACTCAGCTATCTATAATAAGGTCACAAAACAAGTCTTAACTAATTCAAAAGAATTAAAGTCACATCATCTTATCTTTTCTGATTACCAGGGAAAGAAACCAGAAATTAGGTAATCCATTTAAAAATGGGCAGATGATCTGAAGACACTTCTCGGAGAAATCCTAATGGCCAATAAACATATTAAATGTTTAATATCCTTACCTATAAGGGAAATGCTAATCAAAACCACAATGAGATACATCTAACCTAGTTAGAATGGCTGTTATGTAAAAATAACAGGTGCTGAAAAGGATTGGAGGAACTATCAGTACAGCCACCATGGGAAACAATATGGAATTCCCCAAGAAAAAGTACTAAACATGTATTTATGATCAAGCTATCCCATTCCTGAGTGATCATGTTCGCTACTGAAGAGATATGTGTATATATACTTGTGTAATGCAGCACTGATCACAAGAGCTAAGACACAGAATCAGCCTAGATGCCTGCCAATTGATAGACGGATGAATAAAATGTGGTACATATACACAGTGGAGGGTTATTTACCATAAAGAATCAAATCCTATCATTTGCAGCACAAATGGTTATAACCGTAGGACATTATGTTAAGTTAAATAAGCCAGACACAGAAAGACAAGTATTGCAGGTTTTCTATGTAGAAACTTAAAAAATTTTTTTAAAAAGACGACAGAGCCTGGGAGTAAGTCCTCTGATGATACTGGCCTTTTTAGCCCTCAATCTGCCTTCAGCAGCCTCTTCTGTTCAGTATTTAAGTGGTAGAGCAATGGCCTACCATCTGCAAGGTCCTGGGTTCAACTCCCAGAACCAAAACAAAATAGTTTCCTGTTGGTGCTGTAACAAAAATTACCACATAATCTATGGCTTAACACAACGCAAATTTATTATTTCACCATTCTGAAAGGCAGCAGTTCAAAATGCATTTCACTGGCTGGAATCGAGGTGTAAGCAGGGTTGCTGTTCCTTTCCCCGTCTTCCATGGGCCTCCTGGTTTCATGGCTCATGATCTCTTCCCTCATCTTTCACGAGTTCATCCAGTGGTACAAACCATGGCCTCTTGCAAAGGCGGTCTTCCACTGTGTAGCATGCGTGACAAGCCTCCGTGGGGCCGTGATGACTCAAATCCTGGCACTGGTTTGCCAACCATCACGTTCCATGACAGGACCTGCCTGTTGTCTGCTGGGTTGTCATTCCATTGGCGCAGTTAGATAGTAAACGACCAGCTAGGAACTGGCTCCGTGTTTGTCCTGTGGCAGGACGACTCATCCCCATTTCTCCCAGCTCTCTGCTTCTGCTCATGGGCTCTTCACCTTTCTCTCCTAAGCTCTCGCTTGTCTTGTGGTGAAGAGTTGATCCTGCTTTTTGTTACAGCTACTCGATTCCATTATTCCATTTCATATCTCAAGTTTTTAAATGGCAGGGATAATTATATTAAGTTGACATGAATGATTATTAATGGATTATGTTAAACATGCAAAATGGCGGCTCTGACATGTGCCACCAAATACACTGAAGGCTCAGATGAGTTACTCTAGGTCACTCACGGCTGGTATTCTCATCTTTATAGAAGGAATCTAGGCTTAGGGAGATTAGGAACTTACCCAAGAACACACAGCTTGGAAGGTAGAAATCATAGCAGAAATCACACCGCTTTGTGTCAGGTAGAAATCATGAAAACCTCTGGCTACACAGCTTCCCCGTGGAATAATGGCACCATGGTGCCCCCTTTGCTTGGCTTTGATTGTAGTAGGAATGGGCAGTGTGCAAAGGAATTCAATGAGGAGTTTTGAAGGTCTCGATACACAACAAAGTAATGTTATAAAGCAGTAGTAACGTCACTGACCCTACTCCAGAATACAAGACACACGAGTAGGAAGAGGTACACCAGCTTGCATTTGGCTCGCTTGCTCGCTGAATTAAATTTTTAAATTATCCAACTGAGCACCACGTCTTCAGTAAGTACTGAGCACTGTCTGTGCTGAGAAGCAAGACTGTAACCAATAGGGCCTGGCCTGTTTTTCAGTTTGTGCACGAAGAGGACTTGATGAATGTGATCAAGGGTTTCAGCTCAGTGAGCAAGGAGCACACCACGTTCACCGACACCCACCTGTGAAGGACGGAACGTGTGGGCTGCACCCCACGAGCCCCAGGTGACCACGCACCATCAATGCTGAAAGACCACTGCAAGGCCTGTTTTAAAATTGTTCCTCTCTAGTAGAGACCTAGAAGTGTTTTGTTTTCCCAGTTGTCAGAAAGGAGGGATCACGTCCATGGGGAAACACACGCGTGGCTGTTTATTTTGTGGGAGACAGAGCACCTCATTTCCACCCGGCTCTGGCAGTTAAATGAATAGTGGCAAGTTCACGATGGCCCATAGTCTTCCCAACGGGAAGTTACCGCTTTCAAACCCACAGCGTGATTCTCCTGAGATGTCGCTGCTGCTCCTGTCCCACTATTTCTGACAGGGTTGACATAATCCTGTAAGAAACACTGATTGCAACAATCACAGCAGCGACGTGAATCCCAACTTCAGGCCACGAGGAAGCAGAGAAAAACGCTGCACTGTGGATAAACACGTGGCTAAAAGTTCTATTTTAATTACAATTTTAGTGACAGCCTTCTGACAGAACACGTAACCAGGATGTTTCCGTTTCTGCAATTATGGATGGCTCAGAAACCTCATAAGTAAACCTTTAGTTCATACATTTTATACAGAAAACTTGAACCAGTATTTTTTTGTTTCTGGTACCAGGGATCGAACTCGGGTCCTTGCGCTTGTGAGGCAGGTGGCACAACCACCAAGCTAAATCCCTGGCCCCTAGCTCTGCAAGTTAGGAGACTGTTTTCTCGCCAAGTTTTATACTTTCTGGAATGGAAACATGGGGTCAGCCGGTTTACTGGTTTTTATTCCCTTCTGCCAACCGGTCAAGTGGCTGTTTAAATGAGCCCTAACCCAGGCAGTGTGGGAGCCCCGTGTGAGCGGTCCAGGGTACCTAACCGGAAGTAGCCTTTTCCAGCAACCCTGGTCTCTCCCAGGGGTCTATGCTTCTGACAGTATGACTTGCTGGTCCATAGGTGAATTTAGAAGACAGAGCTCAATGTCATTCCTGGAAAATCACATACTTTATCTCAGTGTTTTGTTTTGTTTTGTTTTTCAGCTTTGAGTTTATTGGTACATTTTAGGGATACAGTACAGTTACATTCATTGTTGGGATCTTGTACCTCTACATGACAAGTCTTGATTCTCATTTTTCCCCTTGTCCCTGCCCTCCCTTCACCCCCTCCTCCCCTCCCCATCTACAAACACTTTATTTCCATCTTTTCATTATCTCACATTTTTTTCTTTTCCCTTATTACCCTTCCCCTACCCGTCCCACCTTCCCTACACCTTTAGCTCCTTTGTTCCCATTTCTAAATGTCAGAATGTATCATTAATTATTCACACCAGAGAAACTATTCAGTATTTACACGTGTGACTTATTTATTTCACTTAGGACTATATCTTCAATATATCTCAGTGTATTTTTAAAAGTGTAGTTATAAAACTTTAAAAGAACACAGAGATGAGAGAACAATCTTAAATCATTCTCCACTTAATGACCCAATTAAACCCTGTTATGAATTCGGTTACCTGAGTCACATGTTGACTCCACAGCTCAGGGTAGACAGACGCCTGCATGGCTTCTCCCAGAACACTGCCCTCTGCAACACAGCTAGTCTTACTCAAATTTATTCCAGGGAAGAACCCCAAGATTGTCCTACTTTTCTAATGGGTGCTGTGGACAGAGACTGTTACACAAAATACCCATCCCCGAGATTCTGATCCAGTTAGTCTGGAGCCGGGCAAGGCCTCTGTACACTTTGGAACTTCCTGGCATTCCTAGTGTCCAGCACCTGCGATGTAAAGCACCTCCAAGGGCCCATGCCCAGGGGCAACATGCTGGGCACAAGCACTATTTCCTGGACACCCACTTGTCTCTTACAGAACAAGGGATAAGCAGTTCTCCGGGTACTCTTAAATCCATTCTTTCTCAATCTCCTGACTCCTCCTATCCCCTGTATAGACCACACACTCTGCTCAATCTAAAAACCACCATGTCTTGTTAACTGTCTGCCAGCAAAGTACAGTCATGTTTTTACAAGGTCTCCTGAGCACTGCATCTTTGTATATGATCTAGTGTAATTTCCACTAGTGGAGAACTTCACATGAAACCTGTTACAGTACCTTACGCTGACATAAAACCTGTGAGCATCCACATAAAAATAACTCACCCAAGGGCCCGGGGATTTAGTTCACTGGTTCCGCTGCCTGCCTTGCATGCACCAGGTCCTGAGTTCGATCCCAGGTACTCACCCCGCCAAAAAGTAATTCAACCTCTAAAGGCCAGATGAAATAAGTCAGTAATAAAGAGCTTGTGTCATGAATAGCCGCTGATTTCCAGGGCATGACTATCATGTACATCAACCTAAACATGGTTTGCTTAATATTTAAATGTGAATCAAGTTTAATATATTTATGAAAAAAACTGATAATCCTGAGTTACACATAGATAAAGGCTTTTAAGGAATAATAAATGATAAAGCCATGTAGAGAAAATAAGATGTTCTTGATACCATCTAATCAACGAATGTTAGAATCGACTGTGATATTTCTTTCAAACTCTGAGTCCCAAACACAAGATACAAACTGAGCAAGACTGGAGTGGGCTTCAGCAACTGTGTCCGACCTCGGGTGAGAGTGATTCATCAGCCTGGATGAAAACGCCAGGGACAAAACCACAGGCTCTCCACATGGGAAGGTACGGCTTCAGAATGCTGGCGCACTGGCTGGCTAAACTTTATCCCATCTGGGTGTCGGTGAGCTCATCCGGGAAATGAGGACAGTATTATCTGTTCAACTGCTCTGCTACATGGTACTCTGAAACTAGTGCAAAATCAACTGAAAAACTTTTTGTCGTGAGAATAATTGTTTTCACTTCTCTTCAGTCATACCAAGTACATAAATGCATTGTGATTTTTCTTCTACTCACAAACTTAAGGATGGAAGTAAAAGGAAAAGTACTAGGCATGTGGGAATAATCCACTCAAGTTTACAAGTTCCAGACTAGACTCAGATCCATGCGGTAACACCAAGCTTCATTCTCCTTTGTGAGAGAGAGAACAGAGATTTTATTTGAAGTAGAAGGCAACACATCGTAACATTCTATACAATTCTATACAAAGGTGCCTATGTAACAGCCTTGCCTGTTTTTGGGTAGTCTTTTAGTCACAGTAAATATGAGACAAGTGTCATACAGTAAAATGTTAGTGACTTGAAATTTTGGTTGACACTTTTCTCTCTGGTGATGTTGGAGATGTAACTTAAGACTTGCAATATATTAAATTCCTATTTCTAATTATAGGAAATAAAAGGGTGAACACACACATGTAGGCCCATTTCAAATAGAGTAGCTACTCAAATGACCAGACGCACTGTCTTAATCACTTTTATTTGATTAAGCTGATAAATAAATACAAGAGAATTATTTTTGTGAAACCACTGGCAATATAGTAAACTTTAAATTTATTTCAACTTCACTCATTTATATTTTTTTGAATGGAAATATATACATTATTCAGCAATAAATGCATGATGGTTTAAATTTACACTTTCCTTGCTGAAACTTGAAATTCATTCCAATTAAATGGAAAAAAAATGTACAAAAAATTTTTTGCTTACAATTCAAAATACATTCAAAATAACATCTTGACACCAGCAAAAGCCTCTAACCAAAACTCCACAACTATACTTCCCTAAGTGTATTAAGATGGCCACATTTCATTATCTTGATTATTAACACTGAAAAAAATACGGTGACTGACTACAACTGGGAGAGTTCTCCTAACTGGGAGAGTTCTCCTTCTGGGTGCTCGAAGCGCTGCCCCGATGATTACTTTTTATGTCATCTTCAGACGGACGATCGCTCCAATCTGAGATACCGTTCACATGGACTTCACTGGAGACATCACACAAGCTGAGACTGAAGAACTGCAACACTAAAAGTGACCCTAAAAGTCTCACTACACAGAGGAGTCTGGTGTTTAACACCAGTAGTGTTTGAGTTACATGATTATTTTATCACAAACATAGCACCTCGTCAAGTATCTGCTAAACACACTGCCACCTCGAGGGCTGGGAGACCGAGGATTACGTGACTCGCAGTGGTAACACTGCAACAAGACAAGTGTCCTGCAGGACCACGACAGGCGTGCAGGCCACGGGTCCCCACCCTGCCGAGCCAGCCTGAGCCAGCCGGAGCACAGCCTGCGACAGCAGCCAAATGGGAAAACGAGCTCCGCTTTACAAGAGACCTGGTTAAATGTGCTTGGTAAGGCTAAAGAATTTCCAAAATGTCAAGAGATATGATTACTGTAGTTCCTTATACCAGGCAACTGTTAGACATTAACTGTCTAATTTTATCTCATAGAGTCTTAGTGTAAAAACAAATGTATGAACTCCAGGAAAACTTAATTTTCATCTAATTTAACAAACCACCGTTCATGTTGAAGTCTCACAAGCTGTAATCCTGACCTGAAGAATCGCTCTTTTTGTGCCGAGGAGATGGTGTGGTCTTGGTGGGGGACGGGGAGGCAGTGCCGGGGGAGTCGGTCCCTCCGTCAGAGGTGCTCGGGGACGAGGCCAGGTGAGGGACTTTCTTCCTTCCGAGGAACCCGCCCCCGTCAAACCCGCCTCTCTTCTTCAGCTCTGTTTTACTTTCACTCTCATCTTCTGAGGACCGTTTCTTGGCTTCTGAAAACCCCTCAGCTGCTTTATGCACCTCCAGACCCCCCTCCAGATCCCTCACACCTTTGCTCTCCATCCCAGGAGACTTCCTCTCCGACCCGCTCCACTCTCCCATCGCCCCCTTCACCTCCGCCTGAATGGGACCCAGGTTGCCATTTTCTGGGACGGCTCTTTCTACGCTTCTGCTGAAGTTGACAGTCTGAAAGTCCCTGTAACTGTGGAAGCTCTCGGTCCTCCTCGCCCTTGCTAACAAAGGACTCTCCCTGTAAGGCCGCACAGACCCGTAGGTTGCTGCTTCGTGGATGGTCTCGTGGTACTGAAGCTGAAGGCTGAAACAGTTTTTAAAAATGACAGTTCAGGTTTTACTTGGTGGTTTCTCAGGAGTATATCTCATTAATGAAACTACCCATAAAAACACATCACATGCGTAACGTGATTTCCTTACACAAAAAACTGTACTTCTCAAGTCCTCTATATTCGGTGCGTACAGTAACACATATTCAACCTAAGTTTCAGAGTAGCTGAAAAGATGCCAAAAACCCTCTTTAGAAAAACCAGAAGGGGTCAATATCATTCCGATTTGTTTCTTCCTGTTTTGAAATTTGTTGTCAGTATCACAGAAAGGCACATTGTCTCAGTGTACTGAAGTTCAGGACGCTCACCTGTACGAGGAGACGCAGCGACATAATCACTGCTGATTAAAAGCGTCCTGAGGCCACAAGGACTCCACCTGCCCCCAACGCGGCGTGACTGACTGACCTGACCTTTTCAGTGAACCCTCTGTGGCACACTGGGCATTCAGATTAGAAGTAACTCACCAAATAAGTTAAAGGCAAAATGGGGTTTGGGATGTAGATGTCAGGAAAAGGGGCAAAATAGCTTTTCTATGGAAAGAAACAGATACAAATTTCTTAAGATTTAAAACTCTTGCGTATCAATATAAAGTATGAATTACAAATATACTTTGAAAAATGTAACTTTTGGAACTACGTACGCAGATCTCCCCAAAGCAGTGGTTTAACTTCTGCCGGCCAGCCCGGAACCCACCTGGAACTGGACTCCCGCAGGCGGCTGTGCTGCAGCACGGAGGTGGCGGGGCTGATGCTGGGCGTGGCACAGCGCGACGTGCTCAGGTCGCACTGGTCCAGCAGCGTGAGCAGCTCCTCCTCCGTCGGGCCGCCCGCGTCCTTGTCCTCGCTCTTGCTCACCATGTCCATGGCCGTGGTCAGGTCCCACATCTGGATGCTGCCGTTGCTGTGGCCGGTGAACAGGTAGCGCCGCGGCCGTGAGCCCATCCGGCTGGAGCCCTCGCACTCGCGCACGGTGAAGGAGGATATGGTGGTGCAGTCCACGGCCTGGATCTCACAGATCCTGAAACGGAGAGAGCAAGGCGGAAAATCACTGATTTCCCGTCCCGCTGCAGCCCGACGCGCAACTGAAGCAGACCCGAGGGGCTCAAGCGCAGGCAGCAGGAACAAAATCCAAATTCAGTGACTCTCCATCCGGAGAAAAGGTTCTTATACAGCGACGCATTAACTAACTGAAATAAATCAAGTAGCGGAGGTTAGAAAACCAGGAAGGGCCTGGATGAGTTCTTTAAAAGGAGCTGCCGTGAAAAGAGGCAGGAAAAATGCAGAGTACACAAATCAGGCTGGAAGACAGCCTGGAAGTCCTTAAAACTGAGGTACACATAAAAACTATGAAGCTGAGGAAAAAACATGGCTCTGCGGAGACGGCCTACACTATTCGGACTCTCCTCCCTACAATAAAACCCACCTCACTTCTCTGATCAGAGCCTGACCTGCCTAAACACTCGGCTCGGGTTCACCGTAGCTTCATAAAGACCGATTTTGCATTCACTTCTATAGGTTAACTTCTATTTATAACTATAGTTTTCCCTCAGGAGTCAGAAACTTAAAAATGCTAAGATTGTTTTCACCATGTAGAAACTAGCTGGTTACAATATACTGCCACTCTCCAACTAACAGACAGGGAAATTAAAATTGTACATGGATGTGAGACCCTACATGGTTAGATGATGTTACGAGACCAATTTTAATGAACACTGAGCAGCTTCTCTGAGAGTAACACCAAACACTAAATCACAGTACTTTAGAACACTTTGTAACAATTTGGTCTCTGACTCTATTACAAGCTCCTAATACATTTTCTTCCAACATAAACAAATAAAGCGAGCTACCAAAAAGATGGTTTAGGTACATAAAACTCATTTTCTACAGTTAATTTACTGAGCTAATAAATATGTGCAATAAACTTTGACAGGAAGGAAGTCTTGTGGAAAAAGACAACTTCCTTCAGTATTAAAGCAGATAGAAGGGGGAAATGGCAAAAAATATGAAACGTGGGTAGTGAATTGTAAGCGGTGTCAAGATTATGCAAATTGTAACTTAATGAGCAAGATTTAACTGTTTCATCGTTTCTCTTCTTAAAGGGGACACTGACGCTAAGAAAATCTGTAGTATGTGTTATTTGAGATATACTTAAATTCTAGGTTCCCCTCCCCGCACCGGGAAGGAACCGTTTTTATGAAAAAATTGATAAATGGCTATGTTTGGACACAAAACGCTCACTGTGTCCTTGTCCTAGTGTAACCCTAGTTGTCCCTAACCAGGCAAAGCAGCAGCAGAAAGGTTACACCCTAGAGAAGATGGAATGAGGCTCACGCCGAGCTCACGGGCAGACCTCTGTCACTGTGTTTCTACTCGCCCTCCCTCATGGGAGCAGCAAACTGCACAGCTTTGTAAGATCAAGCAGTTCAGAGCATAATCATCGGCACAGTGGGGCATCACCTCTTCCCGGTCGACGAGAGCCGCACGAACAGCTTGTTGGTGATGGGAACCACCTTCTGAATAAACACCTGCTGGTCATCGCGCTCTCCAAAAGGCCCTTGGTCAGAAAGGAAAAAAACCACCAAATAAGTTAATTGTAACAGCTTGTTTCGCTAGATAAGACCAACATCAGTACCACTCCTTCTGCAGCTGTAGATGTCTCCCCGAACGCGTCACAATCACATGCGACATGAGGGTCAGAGCACTTGTACTCGTGTTAAAAAAATGCAAGAAATCTACCATGTTTCCAAATTAAACTCATTCACTGAGGCCGTGGAAGCTGAGGCAGGATTTGCATCGGGCTCCAGGCTAACAGTACTAGAAAGAGACCCGGCAACAGATTCACTGTCTCTGAGAATGAGCTTAGATTTTCTTGTACTGAAAAGGGGGGCTGAGGTATGGGTCAGCAGTATGCCTAAAGCCTGAGTTTTGAGCTCTAGCACCAGGAAGGAGAGAAATAAACTAAGTCCTCCTCGGATGCATTTCTGAAAGCCAGCAGCAATTTAAATAACACTGAAAGTACAAAGTGCAACTTTATTAATTAGAATTAATCAGAAGCCTCCATTAACCACACTTGTTCCTTTGATCTTTTACTGAGGATAAATATTAAAAGTAACTCCATATAGGGTAGTTGGTAAACCAAAACCGAAAAATCTCAACCAATATCCAAAGAACAAGTACAGTATGAAATTTCCTACAGGTTGAGTATTCCTGAGCCACTGCCTGGGCTTGGAAGTGTTCCCAAAAGATGGGCTTGGTTTTGGAAATCTGCATGTATGAGGAAGCACCTTGGAGACGGGACCCAAGTTAAACACAATTTATGTTTCACATACACCTCCTGTGCACAGATGGAAGGTAATTCTATCAATATTTTTAATCACTGTGCATATACAATTTCACCATATAGAATTTTCACTTCTTGTTGGGGCTGGAAAGTTTGGGATGCTGGAATGTTTCAGATTCAGACTTGTGGACTACGGATGCTCGACCTGTACTGAGTTACATCTTGCAAAGTTTTCAATCTGAAGAAGAACGATTCCATTATTTTCACTTTACTGTGCAGGTAAATGGTCTATTTTAGAAAGATTCTGTATAACACCATAAAAAGCATTTACATGCAAAAACTAAAAACATCTGGGCCGGGGATTTAGCTCAGCGGTTTGGTGGCCTGCCTTGCAAGTCCAAGGACCCGAGTTCAATCCCGGTTCCAAAACAAAAAAAACAAAAACACTAAAAACATCAAATTTCACTGTCTTTCATCATGCTCATTAGCTAAGGTATCAACTTGTTTATAAAAATCATGATACATGATATACAATTTCTCGACAATATATCCCAACTTACATGAATCACAAATAATAGACAATGGTACCTTTGTTATTCATTAGCAAACACACTACACTATGTGCCATGGTATTTTTACATTTTAATCATCGTAATAACCACAGAAGAAGGCACTACTATGACCTCCAATTTACAGATGAGAAAAACTAAGGCACCAAGAGACTGTTTGCCAGAGGTGTCACAGGTTCTAGTGATGGGACCGGAACCCAGATGAACTCACTGCGCCCGGTCCCTGGCCTTCATCACACACTACGGGACAACCTGCTCCACTACTGAGGTGGACGACAGTCCTGGTCCAATAGCCTATGAACAGTGCTGGGCCCGTGGTGATGAATCAACAGTCTATGGAAATGGGTCTTCTCTCCCCTTGCACTTGGTACCTGGCTGGATTATACAACAGCTCAGTGGTCCAGCCCTATCTCAGCTCGTGTTAAGTACGCCCTGGGTTCAACCTCCAGAACCACAAAAGAATGAAAGTCCAAAACCAATCCAACTTGATACTGACGTGAAATGTACCTATGACCTAATGCTTCACACTTTACCAGCTCAGCTACCCACATCCCCCAGCTGTTTTTCTCCACTCTCCCTCTTACCCTCCGGTCAGCTCTATGGTTTCTGCTTGGAAAGGTACCTTAGTGAACCAAGAGGCCCTACAGAACTACTACACGAATACTGACATACACTGTACGCACGGCTTTCGTTTCCAACGGAGCCCCGGAGAAAATGCTCCATCCCCAAGACAACTGCATGTGTGTGTGATGCCCGTGTCTGCGTGTACAGCACACAGAGACAGACCGAACTCACCTCTGTCCACCACTGCTGAAACCCTGTACCGGTGAACGTAGGTCCATCCCTTCGGCGTGGGCATTACGATGCCATCAAAACGCCTGACCACAGAAGCACCAGCCCTTCGCTAGCTTCAATTTTATTTTCAGGAGATTATTAGTAAAAGACGACACTACGTTTCCAGTATGAACAGTTACCGTGGCTTTAGTTATAAACACAAGGGCACATTCGGAGGAGACATTATTTAAACTCTCACAAATTGAAGACTCTGCTTCTGTAACTTTTTAAACACTAAGAAATGCTTCCATAATTCTGTGAATTCACAGAAACTATTCGGAAGCCCTACATTCTGTCTTGAATGAGTTTCAAAATTAAAAAGACTTCTACTGCCACTGATGCACTTCTCTGGAACTGCTCACACGCGATCCAACATCCCCCGCTGCTCTCACCCACCTATGTCATTCCCAGAGGAGTAGCTCCCGTGGCTCTCCGTCTCTTCCAGAGACAGGATCTTGAAGGACGCCAACGGCGTGGAGCCCGGCTGAGTGGAGATCATCCCCCGGAACCGCGTGACCGTCCACGTGCGGACGTGATTGTTGTCTGCACAGACTGGGCAGAAAAGGGTAACAGATTACAAGGGCACCTCCAAAACCACCTTCATTCTCCCCTGTGACCTACGTTAAATGTGTAGGACCTATTAAGTGGCAAAGGACACGTTTATCTTAAAATTACACTTTGTACATTGCTAATAAAAGTGAGGGGACTGAAGACAGTTTATCTACATAAACAAATCTATGAGACCCTTATAAAAATAGTCTGTGAGGTATAAATGCAGACACAGTTTAAAAAATGTGTAAGAGAACAGATGTTACATGTTACCCAGTACTGTGGCTAAACTCTACAGTGATTAGTAGTCGCCTGGTTTATTTTGCCAGTCACTGAAACTGTTTCCGCTTACGTTGCTCAAACAAGTTCAGGCTGACCAACTCCTGAACAGCTACTGTGGCAGTGACGGAAGTGACTGGTCAGTCACGTGCTTGTAGGAGGCGGCTGTTCACTGCTCTCGCACCCACATCGAGGGGCATTGAAGCGATGTTACCCAGCTGTGGCTAAACTCTACAGTGATTAGTAGTCGCCTGGTTTATTTTGCCAGTCACTGAAACTGTTTCTGCTTACGTTGCTCAAACAAGTTCAGGCTGACCAACTCCTGAACAGCTACTGTGGCAGTGACAGAAGTGACTCTGGTCAGTCACGTGCTTGTAGGAGGCGGCTGTTCACTGCTCTCGCACCCACATCGAGGGGCATTGAAGCGTGACGAGTGCGTACATTAAGTAACATGACCCAACTTTATCCTTTAACAGAAATGCGATTTCATGGTTATAGAATGAGCTATCTCCTAACCCATTTCCATTTTTTTATCCGAATATGTACTCTTTAAAAAATTAAACACCAAAAACGTTATCACTAATTCAAGAACCATATTTTTTGGCATACCTTAATTTAAAAAGCTAATTTGTCATTTATGACATTTCAGAAAATCTGTTATTATCCCCCATTAAGTTTATTGGTGCATTTACAAAATCTGTTACTGCGAACAATGGGCCATGAATTCACCAGTAAAGGCTAACATGATATCCAAAACCTCTTCTAGGCACACAAAGCATTTGCTATAGGTAACATATCAATTACGTCGATTACACATTTTAAACCAAATTCTGGAAGAATTTTAATTTTGGAAAAAAGCAACATGTATACCTGTTTTACTCTTATGTAATAAAATTCTCAGTTCTCAGAATATCAGTTTTCTAATAAAAGTGACACATTTGGTTTCAGGATTTAAGTCACAGGAAATAATTTCCTGATTTCAATATTAAGTTAAGATCCACAAAAATAAACGATTCTGGCTAATTTGTGTACCTATAACAACTTTCAGTATAGGTATTATGCAAAAGTTTTGATGTCAAGCATTAGAACACACTAGAGAAAAGAATGTGACTGTATTTATGCTGATGTCCACTAGGTGGCAGAACACCGTAACTGTGGGTAAAGCCCTCCAGATTTTTGGCTAAACTGGACATTATTTATTTTCTCTTTTTGAGATGAGGTCTCACCACATAGTCCAGCAGCCCTTGAATCTATGCCCAGATTCACAGGGCTAGGGGGACAAGCACATACTGCCATGCCCAGCTAAACCGTGCTCTTACTTTCATAATGTATTTAAACTTCAAATCTATGTGTTAAAATACAAATTTTACTAATTTCTTTGGCATCACTTCCTGTAACAGCATTATAGGCACAAAAATAATAGCAGTTACTACTATCTCTATGCATTGTCATTTAATATATGTGCTGCCGAAGCAAGCACGGTACTGTCATTTAAACAACTCTACCAAACAGTCCACACCCTCACAGATCAGACCGCCTCACGTCATACGTTTATTTGGCATTTTTTATGTGCCAGGAACTATGCTAAGAGCCAAGACCAAGGGAGAAAGAAGTGCCTGCAGGCGTACAACTTACATGCCGTAAGAGGGAGACAGAAAACAAACATGTTGAGAAACCCATAAGCAAGGGCAAAGACTATGAGGACAGACAGACAGACAGACAGACATTACTGCTGGGCGGAAGTGGAGCGAGTTCAGATCGATGGCCGACGAGAACGTATTCCTGAACAACAAGAAGGCAACCAAGCAAGAGTCTCCAAGTGAAAACTGCAAGGAGGAGCGACAGGTGCAAAGGTCCTAAGGCATTTGTAAGAAACGGAAAACCAATAGGTCATGAGCAAGAGAAAAGCAGGTGGAAGGTTCGCAAGAGCTGGAAGGTAAACAAGATCTAGAACAAAGAATGACACAGAAACTGCCACTATTTTAAGTACAGTGGAAGCCATGGGAATCAGGTCTGCACTGCATTTCTACGAGACACTGCTGGTTCATGCGTGGAACATGGGCGGGCGAGGGCCACACAAGGGTTGGGAAGCTGCTGTGCTGACCTAAGGGGACGATCGGAGCTACTGGGCCGCCAACAGCCCCAGGGATGAGGTTTGGGGTGCGTGTTACACACGGCAAGGCCAGCAGGACTTACACGTGCATGAAGGACGAAGGGAAGAGTCAAGGGTCCTTCCTAGATGCTCAGCCTCAATCCGTGAGGAGACGGCAACACACTCAACCAGGAGAGCTCTTGAGTCATCAATGATAGAAAGTTCTGTGTCCAAGTTCAATGACAGATTGCTACTGACCATAGGCAGAGATGGGCACAAGATATACAAGTTTGCAACTCTCTGCATGGTCAAGGCAGAAGCTGAAAGGTCACTGGCACACAGAGGATAAGCACTGTTCACGTTGCTAGGGAAAGTACAGATTGCCCAGCAAAGCTCTGGGGTAACTTAGCAACCACCTTGCCAAAGAGGAGATCGAGCCGCACAGTGAGAAGGCTGCAGAGTTGGGCAGGCGATTACCAGGCGAGTTTCCTCATGGAAGTGTAAAGAAGAGTTTGTTGGAAGCACAGTTAGACCCCCAAAATTATACGGCCAATAAAAACACACCATTCATTCATCCATGAGCAAACTATTTCCCATCTACTTGGTGTTCAATTAAGACCGAGGACAAGGACAGATGGATTGGTAATCACCTTTTAGGCAGTCTTCATAAAAGAAATGCAGTATGTGAATGTGAGGTTTATAAAAATGTCAAATTGGGCAAGAACCGCTCTACAGAACAGTTAAGTGCAAGGAGTAAGGCTCCTCTAAGACGAGCTCTACTGGTACACTGTGTTTTCAAAATCATTATCAACAGTGAAGTTCTTCAGTGGGCCGGAAAGTACTACTCATTAAACTATAAACTCACTATGCAAATTTATAAGAATCTTATTAACATCTAAAATCTCATATGTTTATACAATTACAAGGAACTGCAATCCCAAGTGCTGTCTTCAGAAAATCCTCCATATTCTAATTTGAAGTTTTATAAGATGATCAAGTATCAAAGTATCTAGATCAGTAACGCTAGCATTAACCCCTATAATATCAAATTTATATAAAAATCTGAACTTAGAAAATGTCTTAAAAACTTCTCCTAGAGTTGTGATAAATACCTTGAAATAAAAACCCATAAACACGAGGAAGTAAGACAGGACACCTCCTAAATTTACACACACACTATTAGCCAGGCCGTCAGAGACGTCCCCGAAAGAGGAGCGCAGCGGCCCTTCGGTTACTCAACTTCCTGCCGTTTCTTTCTGTGTCTTTTTCTCACAGGCAGCACCACTCACAACTGTGTGTGCGGGGAACAGGTCATGAAGTGGGAGGGACAGGGCCGCCTCCCTCACCACACCCGCGGCGTCTCGTTACCTGACACCAGGTGCTTCTCCGACAGCATGATTTTCGTCACGGGGCTCCGGTGAACCGTGAAGGTCTGGAAGAGCTGCGGCCCGGACCCGACCGTCTCCGGGTGCTGCACGATCACGCGCACCGCTCCCGAGCTCGTACCGTAAGCGATCTCGATCCAGTTCCCGCTGACACCTGCGGAGGCAAAGTGCACAGGCGGAAGTCCGGGAACGACAGACAGCTGCTGCTGCACAGCTGTCCTGCGACAGAAAGGGCGGAGCCGATCAGCGCCGGGGACAGGGTCCGCTCAGCAGGTGACTGAAGAGGTCTCTGGCCATCTTACAACGATGACCCCTTTCCCGACCTCTTCCTAACTCTCCAAGACGAACTGCTCCCTCCTCCCTCGTCCACGCAGTGGGTTCTGATCCTGTGCTGATTTCCACGTCTGTACTTCCAGTCCTCACCGACAGGTTAACGTCTTTTCATGTCAGCTCAGAGCTCCTGAGGCACAGCAGGCACGCACATGTGTCTACAGGATTCATAAATGCTCCCGTGAACAGCGTCACTGAGACAGCGGAGAAGCTACCGCGCTGCCACACAGAGCTGCGCGTCTAGAATGACCACCTCATGTCCTCCTGCTCCAGCACGGAATCGTCACTGGCCGATCGCGTGTCGGGCACCGCTCTGGACAGGGACTACAGCCCGGGACGCTGCCGTGTCGCACGCCCACCACCCCTCCACTTCTGACCGTGCCAGGTGCGGCTGCGGCCTTTTATCTAAGCAAGTTTTCAGACCCAATCACACATGAGCTCAGTGACCTGGATTTCCCAAACCCGCTCAGAGAACCCGCTAGCTTTACGAGCTGTCCTTTCCGCTTCATCTGAAAACACATAAATCAAAGGAAAAAGAGCACCCACCATGGAAAACCCTTCCTGACTCCACTTCTGGGCTGTAACCGTCTTCCTGCCACCACAAAGAAGTGTTTTGGTTTATAAATCCTGACCAGGAGAAAGTAAACGCCAAAACGCATACTGCACGCTCCCCCTTCCAGCAAACCCTCCCTGAAGGAACAGCCAATGCTGTGAACTTCGCAGGCCACGCCGTCCCTGTCACAACCTCGCCGGTGACTGTCGCATGACGGCCGGAAACCACACGCGAAGCCGTGACAAAGAACGGCAGGCTGGGCGGTAACCACGGCTCGTCAACCTGGCCGAGTTTAAATTTCAATCCAACGCATCTGCACACAGCAAAGTACCTCTTTCATACTAAAGATTGTTATTTCCTTTAACAGTGTCAATAAAATAATAATGGCCAAGTAACAGAGCCGAAGCTATCATTTCACAGTATTTCCTTACATTCTTTTCATCACTGGAAGTTTTAAGTTTCCCAATTTGTCTTTAAACTGTAAGGTTTAAATTTTCTTAACACTTCATAGCAGTAGTCTGTTAATTTTACTGCGATGGCCTCTAAAAGGCAAGGGAAGCTGTATACACTGAATTTCTAAACAAAATGTCCTTTTCTTCAACTTAAATTTCCAATTACCACGGGGATTGGGAATACAGCTAGCTCAGTGGTACAGCTCTCACCTGGCAGCCACGAGGGCCTAGATCCAATTCCCAGCACCTCAAAGACAGAAAGAAGGAGAAATTCCTAAGGAAGTAAGCTTATTTGCCAATCCAGAGTAAGTCATAAGTTTAATTTTTGGTTAAAAAAAGTTGCTAATTTCAAAGTTAAATATGCATGTTTTTTCTAATTTCAGTTATTCTAACGCAGTTCAACACATTTAAGACAGGGCTGTAGTTCCCAGGTGAACAGAGACAGCTCAGAAAGGGAAAGCTCCAATTTCCCACCTGAAATTATGCTGCTTGTGTCTCGCTACAGTGTACAACAAACTGAGTATTTCAGATTAATGGAGATGAGATCCTTAGTCCTGCAGTTCTCGGAAAGGAGGGGATTCGCTTTACCCTGCTGCACAGCAAACTAACAGGTCAAAGTACTGTGTGAAAAGAGCGGGTGCGCGGAGAGCTGTCATGACAGCTGGTCGGGCACTGACTTGTTTTGGGCGTGAGGTAAACACTCAGGGCTGTGATGGCATCATTTGAAGGGTCGTGATAGAGTTCCGTTACCAGGAGATCATTGTCCTTCATTCGCAGAGGAAATTTCTGCATATCTGAGAGATAAAAATGTTTCCGCAGGATTAAAATAAACAATACCTCTATCTTAAAACCAAAAAAGTTAATTTTTTGGTTTTCACTTTTAGAACCGGCACCCTTGAGTACGTGAGCACTTACCGATGTAATATATGGACCCGTTGGTGCAGCCCAGGAGCAGGAAGGAGCCGGCAGTGTCGCAGCTGGTTATGGGCACGACATCCTGGACCTGCGGCAGTGACATCAGGAGGCGTCAGAGGGCCTATTCTATGTCCTCATAAGTCCGACTCCCAACACCCTGCCTTCGCACGACCCAGAAAATGAGCCTTCTCTGGATGTTGAGCGCTCTCTAGAGCTGCTGATCGTTACCCTAAATGCTTGTCACAAGATTCGTCTCCGTCTCTCCACATCACTGCTCCCGAGGAGCTTTCTCCTGCTGCTGCTCGTGATCACGAGGCTGGAGCCGCAGGACTCAGGAGACCCAGCGCGAACACATCCCGTCCTCCCTTCTGTCCCTCCAGAGACAAACACCAACCGCCCAGAGCTACACGGAGCTCGTGCACAGACAGCGTGATCCACAGCATGGTTAATCCTTTCACGACTCGTTGTGACTTGTTTGAAAAAGTAGTGTTTTCTATTTTCATTCTCCTTACTAAAACCTTTGTCTGTTTTCTAGCATGCATGTTTGTTTTTCCAATACTGGAATAAGAGTTTCTTTCAAACAAATAAATCTAGTTCACAAACTTATAACAACTCCCACTTTATGTGCTAAGAGAAAAAGCAAAAGACACGAGTTCTGCCACCAAAACAAAACAAAACACAAAATGCGAAGCATCACAGATGACATATGAAATACGAGAAACAGTCTTACGTACAGAAGTCAGAGATCTCCAGTACTTTCAAATGTAAAATGATCGTGGAACTTTTTATCATGTTTAGTTTCAGATGAAGACTAAAGCCCAAACATGACGTGTCCTCTTTGTGCGGCAGTACTAAGACAGGCAGGCAAGGGGCAGGGCTGTGGGATCCCTCAGGGCCTGAGGACTTGAGAGAGACAGAAAAGGCAGGCGGACGTCCTCTCAGGTGTTAAGACGGAATGCGCCATACAATCAGGGAGCAGGGCGGTCCTCTCAAAACCGCTAAAGAGCAAAGGTCACGGCAAGGTTCTGAGAAGTGGGGCTTGGTTCAGTTCGAGTACGGCCCTAAAACTCGCATGTGACGGAGGGGGGGCTCTGGGGAGGTGCGTGGATCGCAGACCACTGGGGCTGGTGGGAGGGTGCAGCTCCCTGCCACACTCCTCCTTGGTCCTCTGCAGGGCCCCCAGGGGCCCAGGTGGCGAGGCTTTGCAACCCCAGGCCCAAGGCCCTGCTGTTTCTGCCCTGGAGCCTCGGAGCATGGACCGCAGCTTTTACAAACCCCCTGCGCAAAAACCTTGCCTACTTTAAATTGTGGGGAGGCAAGGACAATGGAACAAGGAAAGTGACTAAGACATCAACTAAGTAGAGAAAGGAGAAGTAAACGTCTGACCAAACAAAATAAAAACCCCACAGAATCCAAGTCCACTCGAATTTACCACAAAACCCCTAAAATGTAGACATGACCACTCCGTCTAAGGCCACGACACAGAGGACCCTGGTTTCTCTGGGTGGCCTCGCGAGCTGTCCCTGCCCAGAAGCCCAGCACTGCGCCTGGACCCCAGGGCAGGCGGGATGCTGAGCATCTCTGGAGAATCCGGAAGGCGGCCACACACCACTGCCAGTGTCCTACCCAACGGTCCCAGCTGTGGAGCTACAGCACTACCATCTTCACAGCAGGAAGAGGCGGACAGAGCGCCGAGCCAAGAGCCCCTCTGCCTCTGTGCCCAGCTTTCCATGCGACCCTCGTCCAGGGAAACCACCGCGATGGTTCGTTCCCTGGATGGTGAGCACTCGGCGGCAGAGCCTTCTGAATTCTTTGACTGCAACCCTGCCTGTGTTCTGCTTTCCTTCTACACCCATCCCTTAGCGTAGGGAGGAGAGAGAAAGGAGGCGCGTAGGGCTGGAGGAGAGGCAAGTGCTGAGTTCTCTCCTACCACGAGCCGGGCAGCCTCCGTACAGGGCGGGGGATGCAGCCCTTTTGTGCTTTTTCTTTAGAGACAGGGACTCACTAAGTCAGTTGTCCAAGCTGGGCTAACGTGCAATCCCCCTGCCTCAGCTTCCCAGTCTTTTAGCTGTATTTCTATTTAACTCATGGAGAGTTTGCTCTTCGTCTTAATTTTTGATGACCTTTTAATTTCTAGTATTTCCTTTTCCTCCATTTCCAAATTGGTCTTATTCCATCCTGACAGTTTATTTCTTTCTCAATAACTTTGGAAATCAGAGTTCCTTTCTCTTACTTCAAATCTGTCCAGTTTTGAAGATCTAAATACTTTTATCTTTTATGCTTGATAACTTTCCTCATTTGCTTTTATGTCTGAGAAAATTTGGGGAAAGTCAGCTCATTTTCAGTCAAAATTACTTCCTCTGTGGAAGTCTGACTGCCGCTCTCGTGAAAGTGCTGGATTCAGTTTCACGCCTGCATCTAGGAACGTCAACAGTCACAGAGGAGTTCCTTCAAACTGGACTTTCCACACCGTTCACACATTTGTAGTGATCCTAACTTGAATATTTTGGTTTCAGTTTCTCACAGGTGTTTTTATCTGAAACACTGCTCCACATTCCCAGATGCCACTTTTAATTATTTTTTTTAGAAAAAGCAGCTTCATTTCTGTAACTTGATGGCATTCACTGCTTCCCTTCCTTTTCTGACCATTTAACATTTGAACCACCACATAATTTTTTAAATTCCTCGCATACACACACAAATCCGTATGATTAGAACACCAAGCAGTACGCACTGACTACCGGCATCATGGATTGGTACACGCACGTAAGGCATCTCTACTTCTGTTTGCTCTTCTTCCCTTCATCCCTCCCTTCCCCTCCCCTCCACACTCCTTCCAGCTCTTGGTCCCCTTTCCATCTGAGAAAGCTCTATCTGCATAATTTCTTCCCTTCCCCTTTCCCTCCTCGCCCTCCATCTCGTTCCCCCATTCAGTTGAACAAGATCTCCCTACTCCGTATTTATCTCTATTTTGTTCTCACTCTCCCCCAAATACACCTACACAAACACATACATATAAAATTTCAGTTTCTCAAATAAAACAAACCACCCAATGTCTAAGCTCACGTGACTCATTTCACTTAATATCATGGCTAATTTTTCCCTATTCTGTAGGCTCCTGTTCCTCACTCTGCTAGTTGTTCCCTTTGCTGTACAGACCGTTTTAATTTGATATAAAATTTGTTGATTCTCGATATTTCTTGTGCCACTGAGGTTCTATACTTGCCCATGTCTATGTATTCTGTAGTTTTACCTATTTTATCCTCCAGCAGGCTAAGTGCTTCTGTTTTAACACACAGACAGTTGATCCATTTTGATTTTAGTGAGTACATGGCGAGCGATACGGCTCTACACTCAGCCTTCAGATGTGCACAGCCAGCTTTCCCAGCAAGATTATTAAAGAGGCTGCCTTTCCTCCAGAGTAGGTGTGAAGATCAAACAGCTCAATGCCCCCAGGGTTGTTTCTCCTTCCTCTATTCTGTTCCGATGATCCACATGCCTATTTTGTCCAACTTTCTTGTTCCAAGACAGTCTGATAAAGACTTCCCCGTCTCATAGCCAGGCGTGGTGGTGCACGCCTGTAATCCCAGCACTCGGGAGGCTGAGGCAGGAGGACTGCTGTGAGTTCGAGACCAGCCTGGGCTACATAGTGAGTTCCAGGTCAGTCTCAACTACATAGTGAGACCCTGCCTCAAAAAAC